ACACAGCCACTTACCTGCTCAACCGCCGGCCGTGCCGTGCCGCGACACCATGCACCCCCCACGAGCTCCTCCTCGGTGCTCCTCCTGACTACTCTCTCCTTCGCGTCTTCGGGTGCCTGTGCTACCCAAACCTTGCCTCCACTGCTAAACACAAGCTCGATCATCGGTCCCTACTCTGTGTGTTCCTGGGTTATCCCTCCGACCACCGCGGGTACCGTTGCTTCGGTCCCTCGTCGCGTCGTGTTATTACCTCTCGCCACGTCTACTTCGACGAGACAGTATTTCCCTTCGGCACATCACCACCCCATCACACTGCCGCGCCGTCGCCACCTGCCTTTGCACCGCCCTGTTGCAGGTACCCACGATCGAGGAGTCTCCTCGCGCGCGCGAGCCATGCGTCTCCACCCACGCGGCCGCAGGCGACGCGGCTGTCTCCGACCTGCGCGCGCATGGTGACCACGCGACCGACGCCCATGGTGCGTGCCTCCCCGACCCCAGCCCTTCGTCTTCATCCTGTGCACAGCCGGCGCCGTGCGGCTCTTCCTCGCTGCCACCAGCTCCAGTGGCGCCGCCGGCTCCACGTCGTATGGTGACACGCGCATAGACCGGCAAGCTCCGCTCCAACCCACGCTACCACGACGGCCTCGTCGCCACTACTTCGCCGGCGGTCGTCTCTCCGGTGCCCTCGTCCGTTCGTGTTGCCGTTCGCGACCCGCACTGGTTTGCAGCCATGCGCGACGAGTTCGATGCTCTCATGCGCAACCGCACCTGGGAGCTGGTACCTCGACCTCCCGGCGCCAACCTGATCACCGGCAAGTGGGTTTTCAAGCACAAGTACAAGGCGGACGGGTCTCTCGAGCGCTACAAGGCCCGATGGGTTGTCCGCGTGTTCCGGCAGCGCGCCGGCGTCGATTACGGCGAGACCTTCTCGCCGGTTGTCAAGCCGGCAACCATTCACACGGTGTTGACTCTCGCCGCGTCGCGCAACTAGCCAGTTCATCAACTTGATGTGTCCAACGCCTTTTTGCACGGCATGCTGGACGAAGAAGTGTACTGCCTCCAGCCGGCGGGCTTCGTCGACGCCACCAAGCCTCACCACGTCTGTCGCCTCTCCAAGTCTCTTTATGGCTTGAAGCAGGCGCCGCGAGCGTGGTTTCTCCGCTTTGCTGGCTTCCTTCAGTCCATCGGCTTCACCGCGACACGCTCTGACTCGTCGCTTTTCACTCGTCGCCGCGGACTCGACACCGTCCTGCTACTTCTCTACGTCGATGACATCGTCCTCACGGCGTCCTCGCCTGCGGCGCTCCGGCACGTCGTCGCTCGGCTCACAGCGGAGTTCGCCATGAAGGACCTTGGTCCTCTCCACTTCTTCCTTGGCATCCGTGTCACGCGCACGCCGGCGGGCTTCTTCCTCTGCCAGCAGCAGTACGCCGCTGATATTCTGGACCGCGCTGGCATGGACTCCTGTCGCCCGTCTCCCACTCCAATCGACACCAAGGGCAAGCTGCCGACCGCGGACGGGCCTCGTGTCGATGATCCGCCCGCCTACCGCAGCATCGTCGGCGCTCTTCAGTACCTGACGATCAAGCGCCCGAAGATCGCGTACGCTGTGCAACAAATCTGCCTTCACATGCACGATCCCCGTGAGTGCCATCTCGGGTTGATCAAGCGTGTGCTCCGGTACGTGCGCGGCACGCCGGCGCTCGGTCTTCATCTTCGCGCCTCGCGTGTGCTCGACCTGCGGGCGTTCACGGACGCCGACTGGGCGGGCTGCCCAGACACCCGTTGATCCACCTCCGGCTTCTGCATCTACCTCAGTGACGCCCTCGTCTCTTGGTCGTCGAAGCGGCAAGCCACCGTCTCACGCTCCAGCGCCGAGGCGGAGTACCGCGGCGTCGCGAACGTCGTCGCAGAGTGCATCTGGCTTCGGCAACTACTTGGCGAGCTGTTCAACCCCATCGACAAGGCCACGCTGGTGTACTGCGACAATGTCTCCGTCGTCTACCTGTCGGCCAACCCAGTCCATCATCGCCGGACGAAGCACGTGGAGTTGGATATCCTCTTCGTTCGCGAGCGGGTGGCGCTTGGCGAGTTCCACGTTCTTCACATTCCCACGCGACAGCAACTTGCAGATATCATGACAAAGGGGCTGCCGACAGAGGCCTTCTGTGACTTCCGGTCCAGTCTTTGCGTCGCTGCCGCCGACGTCACGACTGCGGGGGGGTGTTAGACTAGGTAGTCATACCATATGTGCTCCTGTATAGTATGCCATACATAGAGCTTTGACCGTGCAGCAGTTTTGCTTGAGTAGTGCTGCACGTCGTCCTGTTAGTGGCTAACCCATGATCTCGCTCAGCTGCAGCCAGCACCTTGTATAACCTCGCAGCCTCGAGCATAATCGATGTGTGTTGTGTCCATTCTCTTCCTCCTCCGTAACACTTATAAAGTGGGGCGTGGTGGCGGGAGGGAGATTTCCGGACGCAGCCGTTGCCTCCACCAACGAGTCGGGAAGGGGATCGGGGAGGTCGTCGTTCCCCTAGATAGAGGGGAGAGAGAGGGCGATTTGGGGGAGACCAGAACAGGGAGGGGATCGGGGAACTGCTAGAGGCGTTTTTTTTGCTCTTCTCCCCTAAAATAACGATCGGGGAGGGTTTCAGGGCGCTGCTGGACTTGCTCTTAGACTAGCCACAATGGAGAGTAACATACACTAGTAACATACACATATCCCAAGACTATGTTACTACCTCAATAGTAGGTAGTAACATAAGTGTGGTAACATGTAAAGCTTCATTTATTAGGTTATAGACTCATATTGCATTGGGACATGTGATGTTACAGTAACTAGCTAAGTTACTAGTACTACATCTCTCCTCATTAACTCATTGCCACATAAGCAAATTTACTGTGCTGGATTCGATGTTACTGCCGAAGTTACTCCCACTGTGGCTAGTCTTAGATGCCTAGGTCCTCATTTTTGATGATTTGTTATTATGTTGTTCATTGGTAACTTCCCTAGTATCAATTATTTGAGGGCTGTTTTTTAGGAGTCACCGCCCCAGCATTAGTAAAAGTGACTGCCCAATCCACGGTGTGGTTAAACAAACTGAATTACATCAACCGGCAGACTCAACGGGACAATGGTGAACTGCAAACAGAAGTGGGGTGCTGCTCGAACATTGAAACGAGTAAACATAATTTTGTGAGCTGTGCACAAATCTAAAACTTAGCACTACTACCAAATTTCTGAGAATGTGCTGACATGTACAGGCGTAATGGGTTCCGACGGTCAGGGCTCTATGGTGAGCAGGAGCTTCAGCCAGATACACACGAGTAGGAAGGATAGTCCCTTTTTGTGATGAAGAAAAGCTAGACGTTGTATCCTGTTCAGTGTTAAAAGAAAGCAAACATATGAGTATAGCAATAAACAATATGAACAACTCGGAAAAAAAAGTAACAGGGCGAGGCATTTGAAAATCTGCAGTATACAATAGCCATAGGGAGTTATTTGGGGTTTATATTATGCCAAAAAGCTCCTCGGCTATGAAACCAAACAGCACATTGAGGTAAACCACTAGAAAAGATAGAAGAGGAACCAGCATAGACGGTTTATCTCAGAACAAAGATGGGAATTCTGTCCTTTTCATATTTGTCAATGTATAGACCGTAAGTTTCCTTGAGTTAGTAAAACTAACTTTGTGAAGAAAGTGTTGTTATTAGGATGTAAGGCCCAAAAGAAGAAAATGAGAAGGGCTGTTCTAACATGCGTAGTTGGAAGTTTGTACTTTTAGATACAAGTTTCCTTGGAGTTAGTAAAAGTAACTTTGTAAAAAGAAGTGTTCTTGGGGCGTAAGGCCCAAAGAGAGGAGTGAGAAGGAATGTTCTAACATGTGTAGTTGAAAGTTAAAATAAGTCCATCTACAGCCTTCAACTAACCACATAGTTTAACTTGCCCCCTGAACTCCAATACCGGCTAGAACACAACAACCCCCAACTCTCAAAACCGCTCAAATTGCCTCCTGACCTGGTCCAAAGGTGGTTTTGGCATACCTGGCAGGCATGGTGGACCAGTCAATGTTGAGGTGATATCATAGTCACCATGAATGAATGAAAAAAGTAATGAGCCCTACAAGTCGGCCTCTAGTGGTACTTTTATTTGCTTGCCTTCACTGCCCCACGCATCTCTCA